TGATTCCTATCACCTATGGCTGATGCTACCCACACCTTCTTCTTCCCCATTCTGAGGTTCCCAGAGTAAAGACCTGGCTGGGGCAGGAATAAGAAACACACAGGACTGGGAGTATGGCTTCATGGTAGAGGGCTTGCCTAGCATGCATGAGGCCCTGGGTTCGATTCTTCAGCACCATGTAAACACAAATAATTTGTTTTTTAAAGGAACACATACAGTTCTCACCTCCAGAGCACAGACCTGGAGCAGGTATAATACTAGCTACACAGGAGGCTGAGATCTGAAGATTAAGAAGGTTCAAAGCCAGCAGAAAGTCTGTGAGACATTTATCTCCAATTAACTACCAAAAAGCTAGAAGCAGAGCTGTGGCTCAAGTGATGGAACATGAACCCTGAGTGAAAAAATGCTAAAGGACAGTCCCTGTAATGGAAAGCAAAAACACAGGCCTGAAGCTGAATCTATTAGGACACAGCCATCATGGCCTGGCTCCCCATCTAATCCAAGGAAACTAAAAACAAAAAACAAAAAAAAACTATTCCAGAGTAGCAAAACTATAATTTATTCACTTGTAAATACTATGATCTCCCCTCCCCTTGTCTGTCTGTCTTGTCTGTCTCTGTCTCTGTCTCTGTCTGTCTCTCTGTCTCTCTGTCTGTCTGTCTGTCTGTCTCTCTGTCTGTCTGTCTGTCTGTCTGTCTCTCTCTCTCTCTCTCTCTCTCTCGTGTGTGTGTATGTGTGTGTGTGTGTGTGTGTGTGTGCGCGTGTGTGCACGTGTGCCAGTCCTAGGGCTTGAACTCCAGACCTGGGCACTGTCCGTGAGTTTTTATGGCTCAAGGCTGGCACTCTACCATCTGAGCCACACCTCTACTTCCAGTTTCTTTGGTAGCTAACTGGAGATAAGAATTTCTCAGATTTGTCTGCCTGAGTTGCCTTTGAACCACAATCCTCAACTCTCAGCCTCCTGAGTAGCTCAGTTTACTAACATGAGCAGCCAGTGCCTCTTTTACATGCAGAACAGCGTGGAAACTGGAAGGGCCTAGCCAAGTCAGAAGAGATGGCTCTTTAGCTGGAAAGGGCAAAGGATGGGCCAGAGCCACTCATTTTTATTTGATTTGCCTCCTCTACAAGGGTTTTTTAGAAGCTTAGAGTAAGAGCACAAATCTTCCAAGACCCAGAGCCCGCGGACACGCTTGCTCTGAGTTAATTTCTGACAGGACATTATCTGTTCAGGCAGCTGGGTGGCAAGTCCTTAGCTGGGGACAGAAAGAGAACTAGGGACAGTCAGCTGATAATCAGCTTCTTCAAAGCCTTCCTCCTCAGCCAGCTCAGAGGCAGTGTGATTACATAAGGCAGTATGATTATATATTTTGAAATACCTTACACAGACCCTTATTCAGAAAACCATAAAGGTTGGCCTTAGCCAAGCACTCGTGGCTCACTCCAGTCTAGCTTACTCGGGAGGCTGAGGATGGCACACGTCTATCATCCCATGTTATATGGGAGGCTGAGATTGTGATGTCCGCTCAGCACAGGGCAGAAAAGTCTAAGAGATTGCAGGGAAGAAGCTGGGCACGGAGGTGTACACCTGTAATCCCAGTGAAAATGGGAAGCCTAGAAACAGGCAGATTGCTGCTCAGGTGTTTGTTTGACTGGTAGTGAGACTTCATCTTAAAAACAAAAACAAAAACAAAAACATAGGGCTAGATGTGGCTCAGCAGTAATGCATACAGCCCAGCAAGCATGAAGCCCCAAGTTCAAGCTCTAGTACCACACACAAAGAAATAACATATAAAGGCTGCTCTTTAGCTAGTATCCAGGTTGTTGGCATATTTTTTTTTTTTATCTTGTGTAACTTGGTGATACTCTGCAAAGCACTTGTCGATCTTATTTCTCGATGAAGAAAGAGACCAGAGAGAGAACATGAAAATGATCATGCCATTTTCTATCTCAAGCTGGGATTAGAACCATCTTCCAAACCACCATCCAATGCCTCAGTCCCTCATCTACTCTGTCTCCTGGGGCAGCAGAAATGTTCCATGACGTCAATGGAAGAATCTCAATTCCTGTTTCCTCGACTGTGAAAGTCTTATCTTGGTACCTCCAGGACCACTCTGTACCTGGCTTTCCCTGGAGCTCTAACAAGCAGAAAGAAGACACCCTAGGTTTAGGTCAATAGCAACAACAATGATAATAATTAACACTAATGTGTTCTGCTTCATTCACTGGGACCAAGCTGTAGTCACATCACCATATCTCATTTAACCTCCTAAATTCTCCCTAAGGGAAACTAAGATTATTCCTATCTTTCAAGAAAACAAAGAGCTTAGTGAGATTAAGCAATTTACCTATGATCAAAATAAAACCAAACAAAACAAAAAGTATTGAGGCCTGGAAATATGGCTTAGTGACAGATTGCTTGTCTAGCATGCATGAAGCCCTGGGTTGGATTCCTCATTACCACATAACACAGAAAAAGCCGGAAGTGGCACTGTGGCTTAAGTGGTAGTGTGCTAGCCTTGAGCAAAAAGAAGCTCATGGACAGCGAGTTCAAGCCCCAGGACTGGCAAAAACAAAAATAAAAACAAAAGAAAATAACCAGGCATTATGTCTATGATCCCAGGACTTGGGAGGCTAAGACAGAAGGATCAAGGTTTGAAGCCAGCCCAGGCAGGAAAGTCCATGACAATTGTATCTCCAGTTAACCATCAAAAAGCCTTAAGTGCAGCTCTCAAGATATAGAATGCCCAAGCTCTGAATAAAAAAGCTAAAGGATAGCACCCAGGTCCTGAATTCAAGCCCCAGTACTGGCACAAAAATCAAACCAAAACCAATGCTGAAACTTAAGACATGGAAAATATACTTCTCTAAATTTAATCTGCCCTAAGCATATCCTATCTGAAAGTTTCTGTATTCAGAATCCCATTTCCATTCTCTTGGTTCCCTATTCTGTCCTTAAGGATAAAACTCTCAAAACAGACTAGAGAAGGGAGGTGAAGACTCATTCCTCCCTATCTCAGGAGACTGGGAGCTGGGACACTAAAGTCCCTGCCTGGCTGAGGGTTTGTTGTGGTGGTGGTTGTTGTGTGTTGTTCAAGCTGGATGCTGTAAGTGGTGTCAGCAGGGAGCTCAAACTGAAGATACTGAGCTTTAAAGCAAAAACCAGCAGCACCAAGAGGCAAAAAAAGCTTTCAGAGGGAGCTGGTAAATATTTGATGGGACCTTCCAGCTCCTCCTGACTCAGGTGACCTTGTGACATTTCAGAACATGGGGCCAGAGAATATTGTTCATCTAATGACTGTCATGTTAGAAGGGACAAAGGCATGTGAACTGCAATACTCTGAGCTCAGAAAGGGCCCAGACAGGCAAATTCCACAAGACTGGGAAGTGAAGATTTCTTTTTTTTATCCTTAGGAGCAGAGTTAGGTCCTCAGTCCACTAAGTGGTGTAGCTCTATGGCCTTTCAAACTGTTAGATGGTTAAATTCCCAAATAGCCAGGTTGCTGGTTATCTTATTTACCCTTGTCTCTTGGGCAGCAGCTGCCTGAATAAAGTAAGTGGTCAAGGAATATTTGATAAGTGAATTGCTGTGGTTCATTCAACAACGCAGCCGGCTCATTTCTGCCCTCATACACTACACCTCCTCACCAACACACAAGACACTGCAGTGAACTCCCTCGGCATGCCGCCACGCTAACCCTCTCGGCTCTGTTCAGAATCTCTACTGCTGAGAAAGAGAGAGAAAGCTGTTTCCAGCTCTTTCCGCTAACGAGGGCTCCCTGCAGGAACAAAGCCACAAGCCACTGTCCTATTATACCACCCCAGCAGCCCCGTGCAACCCCGATCCGCGAGCGGCTGCCTTTATGTCTGACCTCCACCAGCAAGGTAGTGTATTGAGAAGAAATGTGCAGATCTGAAGCAACACACACATACACACACGCACAGACACACGGCCACCTTGGAATGCTGATACAGCATAGCAAGCCAGGGGGTTGACATTAGATCCTAGCACAGAAATACTCGAACCCCCATCCCCTGCCCTGCAGCCCCCACAAACCACACAAACACTCCCATCAGACCTCCGCATTACTCCCCCTGCTCTGCTGCGGCAGAACGGCTTCAGTGCCCAGCCACAGACTCGATCAGAGGCTCAGAACTAGAGGAAACCTTGGCTTTGCTCAGGAGTTTGTCTGTCTGTCTCCTGGGCAGCTTGAGTTCCAAACTGTCCAGCAGGGTTGTGTCCACCCAGCTGCTTTGAAATAGCTTCCTGGTGCCCTTGAGAGAAAGGCCTGAGGGAAACACAGGAAGCCACTGGTGACCTCTTAATGGCTTTTCTGACCCGAGAATGCACAAACAACTCAGACTGGGGTTCTCTGGGTGTTAACTCTACTCCCTAGTACCTCACAACGGTCTGACCACCATCCTCAAAAACACTCCAAAGTTCCCATTTGAGTAGCGCTTCAGGTCAGCCCTCCAGGCCTACCGAGATGTCTTTTCCTCCTATTTCAGAATCTCCTAACTTTTTCCAGGTCTCTGAGGACATCAAGTCCCCCATTTCCAATTAAGTCTGGGGGACCCCAAGTCTCCCTCTCTGACCTCCAGACCGCTAGCTCTCTTGGGTCGCTCCCTGGTGGCGCTACCCAGATGCCACCGGAGAAGTGGATTCGGCGCCACTTGCTCTTACATCCCGGTCCCCCCACGCCGTGACTCCTGAATGTCCAGGTCGGTGTGTGGAGGTGGACGGAGGCTGGGGCGCCGTGCCCGGCCCGGCAGAAGCCGGGAGCGTGGACAGCGCACGGGGTGCTGAATCAGGGCCCCGGCCAGGGAGGACGGGATGGGACAGGACGGGACGGGACGGGGCTGCACGGAGCGAGCTGAGCGGGGGCACGACCACCAGACCGGACCGGGGACCCCCAGGGACAGTGGAGCGGGAGCTCCGGCCGCGGGCCCCGGACGAGCGCCTCTTCCTCCCCGGAGCGCGGGGCCGGGGGTGCGGCCCTTACCTGGCCGAAGGCGGAGCTGAGCATGGGGCGCAGCCGGTGGAGGACCGGGTCCGCCTCGGTCCCCGCGGAGGCAGCGGAGTTCCCGCGGCCCCGGAGGCCGAGGTCCGGGGACGGCCCCCGAGCCTCCCCGTCCCGCCCGCGGACCGGCGGCGCTGGCGAGGGCGGCGCGGGTCGGGGCGCCTCCCGGGGCCTGCAGCGCGCCGGGGCGGCCGACCCCCGCCGGGGCCCCCGCGCGCCCTCCTCGCGCGGCGCCGGCCGGCACAGGGGCCTCCGGGAACTGGGGTCCCCGGACGGCGGCGGGGTGCTCGGGCAAGCGCCAGGCAGCCGGCGGCCGGGCAGCCCGGGCTCCCGGGTCGGGCCGTGGCGGGGAGCCCGGCCGCCCCCGCCCGCCGCGGCCGCCGCCGCCCGCAGCAGCGACGTCTTGGACTCGCTCTTGGCGATGTGCGAGCTCATCGCGGCGCGGCCGGCGCTCGCATGGCCCGGCGGGGGCGGCGCGGGGCCCCCGGCGGCGGCAGCGGGCAGGGAGCGGGGCGCCCGGCGGGAGCCGAGCCCGAGGACGCGCTGGAGGCGGGCGCCGTCCCCCGGCCGCTTCAATGCGGCCCCGTCGCCGCCGCCCATGTGACAGTGCGGTCTCCGCGCCCGCCCGGAGCCACGAGCTCCCGGCGGCCGGCCCGGCGCTAGGTACCGATCTGAGGGGGGGTAAGAGGCGGTCCGCACGCCTGCGGCTCCCCGAGAGCCTGCCCCCCGGCTCCCGGCCGGCCCAGGTACCGCCACTCCCCGCCCTCGCCCCGCCCTCGCCCCGCCCCGCGCCCCGGGAGCCCGGCTTCCCGGCGGCCCCTGGTGGCGGAGGGGGCGCTGCGGCGCCTGGAGGAAGGGGCTAGGAACTCGCGCACAGCCCCTCGTCACCCTCTCCCCGCAGCATCCCCAAACCCCCTGATCTCCCACAAATGTAGGCGAGGGTGCGCTCCCCCAGGGGAAGGGGATGTCCAATTTTGGCAATGGGACAAAAGAGGTACAGAGCACTTGGGACCCCAGAGGGATGAAGGCGGTGTAGACTACACGCGCAAACACAGGAGCCGCAATGGCCAAGGAAGGCCAGGCTGAAGGAAAAGTCTCCATTCTAGGCAAGCTTCGTGCAGCCTGCACAGTGCAGCGGGACTCAGCCCCTAGTAACTCAGCTCTCCCAGCTGAAGCCAGGCCCGGTGGTAACTGGCTGCGTTACCTATCTAGGAGGTGCCCGATGGTCAAGTCTCAGGTGGGTCCCACTGGCTGTCCTCCAACTCTCCTGTCCACCCCCACACACACACACACACACTTTCCTGCCCTTCTGGCTGCTGGTGGATTCATGATCTTGGTAGACAGCCAGGGAGTCACACGGGGCTGGTTTAAATCTCAAATCCCAGCTCTGCAGCTTACCATCTGGGGATCTTGGGCAAGTGTCATCACCTTCTTCGGAGCTTTGCTTTCCCTCTCTGTAAAATGCCGATGATAATTCTAACTTCTCGGTGACATCATGTGACACCATGCATATGAAAGGTCTAGCTAGTTCCCTTCTCTCAGCACCCCCCTTCTGAAACCCAACTTCTACCCTTCTTTAGAATAGAATGTTAAAGATTCGGAGGTGCGAGGAACCTCCGCAACTCTCCCTGTTCTAGTGTCTGGCCTTGGCGTCATCCACAGCCTGCTGGATGCTCAAACTTCTTGGAAGGACCCTTCTCTGCACTGTCTGCCTCTTTTACTTAAGAAGATGTAAGAATAAAAAACCTGGTGCTGGTGGCTCAGACCTATAATCCTAGTTATTCAGGAGGCTAAGATCTGAGGATCACTGAAGGCAGCTTGGGCAGGAAAGTCTGGGAGACTCTTAGCTCCAATTAACCAACAAAGGGTAGGAAGTGGAGTTATGGTTCAAGTAAGTGGGAAAACACCAGCCTTGAGTGAAAAAGCTAAGGGGCAGTGCCCAGGCCCTGAGTTCAATCCCTTGTATTGGCACAAATATGCACTAGGGGAAAATTTCCCAGGCACAAGATGAATGGAAGGACAGACAGACAGGCGGGTAGGCAGGCAGACAGACAGGCAGGCAGACAGTCACAGACACACAGACACGCAGACACACACACACACACACACACTGAGGAAGAAAAAGGACAGGATGGGCAAAGAGAGCAGCTATACAGAGCCAAAACTGAATAAGCAAAGTATGGCAAATTGTCCCCCAGTTCACCTTCTGTAAGGGACTATCAAAGCCACACACCATTTTTTTCATTCCCTCCCTCCTTCCCTTTCTTCTTCACTTCCTCTCTTTCTCCCTCCTTCCCTCCTTCCTTTCCTGTACTGGGGATTGAACTCAGGGCTTTTTTCCTTTCACTCACAGCCGGCACTCTACCACAAGTGACATCTCCAGTTCTAGCTTTCTGCTGATTAATTGGAAGTAAGAGTCTTTCCAATTTGTCTGCCTGGAGCTAGCTCCAAACTAAGATTCTCAGCTCTCAGCCTCCTGAGAAACTAGCATTGAAGACATGAGCCACTGGTTGGTGCCTAGCACTGTCAGGTTCTTAATCATAAATACTGAGGTAGGTTTTGGGAGTAGGGAGGGGTGGAGAAACAGTGGGAGAGCAATCCTTAACTCTCATTGTTACAAATATAACCTGGGGTATGTGGGGTGTAAAGTGTTCACCCTCCCTGGTTTGGGGTCAGTCACTGTCTTAAATGTTCAGCCCTCAGAACAGTCGTTTATTTGGTGAGACTAAAAATAAATGTACATCCAATATAAATCACAGGAGATAAAGTACCTTAGCAGGATCTCTCAGAGCTGATGAGCAGCTGTGGGCTGATGGGTATTCTAAATCCCTTCTGTGCCACTCTTGTGTATCTGTCTGAACTCCTCCTAAATATCTCTGGGAAAGCCTTCTGTCAACAGCTTCTTTCTGGAAAAGTTAGTTCATTCATGATTATCAGAGTAAATACAAGAAATCAAAACTATGTTCATGGAGTAATTAGATGCAACACCTGTACACATAGCCCATAGAATACTGTGTATGCACTAGAATTCCATTTCAATTGTAAGATTATATTAATTTGGTTACTTGAAAAAAAAAACTACTTGTACAACCAGGCATTGTGCTCTGCGCCTTAGATATAAAGATTCTTCCAGAGTCAACAAAATACTTGAGTGCCTAGTATTTCTCGGCACAGGATAGATAGAAGACCAGAGGGAAGGACAGACAGATAGGAAGGAAGGCAGGCAGGCAGACAGACAGACAGACACAGATAGATATAGATCTACTTATGTACCTACCCATCTATATAGTAGGGATTTTTTTGGTTGTTTTTTTTTGGGCGGGGGAACTAGGGCTTGAACTCAGGACTTTGAGCTCTTGCTTTTTTTTTCTGCTCAAGGCTTGCATTCTACCATTTCAGTCTAACCTTCAAATACGGTATTTTGCTGATGAACTAGCTGGCTTCTAACCTCAATCCTCAGAATTCAGCCTTCTGAGTAGCTAGGATTATATAAGCATGAGCCACTGGCACCAGGCTCATCTAGTGATTTCTTTTGCAGTCTGGGAATGGAACTCAGGGCCTCACATATGCTAGGTAAGTGCCCTACCACTGAGCTATACCCCCAACCCATGCCTGTACGATCCCCGGTACCAGCAGGTCAGCAAAGAACCAAAGAACTGTCTATCCTCAGCAATTCATAAACACAAAATACATGCATGGAAAGGAGAGGAAAGCTGTTGTTATGAAAAGAAATAAAGCAGGTACGAGCCCAGGACTTATTGGAAGTTTAATTATTAGTGGTACAGGGCCTGGTGTGTGCAGGGCAAGTGCTCTACCACTGAGCTCCACCCCCAGCCCAGAAGGTGCTTGTTGAAGTGACTAGGGAAGGCCTCTGCAGAAGGGCCCTGTGAACAGAAACCAAAATAACGGAGCAAGTGACAGATATATCTAGGGAACGAGCTCTCCTGGCAGAGGGAAGACATTCAAAAGTCCTGAGGAGGAAACAGCTTGGTTTGTTCAAGGAGAAGCCAAGAGACAGGAGGGCTGGAGTGAGTAAGAGGGGAGGTGGTGGAGGAAGAAAGCTGAAGGGAGGGGCTGGGCACTCAAGGACTTTGGGTTTCTTCTAAGCACCAAATGAAGCCACCAGTGATTTTGCAGTAGAGGAGAGAGGAGAACGGTGTGATTGTCTACAACCGTACAGCCCACCGGCTGTGTTGCAAGCAAGCCAACAGGCTGGCAAGTATAGAGCCAAGCAACCTATCAGGTGCTGTCCCCAGGTCTGGCAGAAATGACCATGGCTGAGCAACTGGAGTGGTAGACTGGCAGAGGTAGTAAGAAGTCAGTTTTGGAAGTTGTTTAAAAAATGGTTAGGCTGGGAATGTGGCTTAGTGGTAGAGTGCTTGCCTAACATGCATGAATCCCTGGGTTCAATTCCCCATTACTACTTAAACAGAAAAAGCTGGAAGTGGCGCTATGGCTCAAGTGGCAGAGTGCTAGCCTTGAGCAGAAGTAGTTGTTCAGGGACAGTGCCCAGGCCCTGAGTTCAAGCCCCGGGACTGGCAAAAAAAGAAAAGGCTGACTGTCCTATAACAGGTAGCATGCATTAGGGAACGAGATTGTAAGAGGCTATATGGGCTTGCTTATGGGGGAGGCAAGACCACAGAACCTTTGAGGGAGCTGGAGAAAGGAGCAGAGGTAGTGACACTGCAGATGCTTTGTGAAGAATAAATGAATTGCACCAGATGAATTCAGAGGGGCAAAGGAAGGCCATTCTGGCAGAGGGAATAGCCAGAGTGGAGGCCTGAGAGTGGATTTGTCCATGTGTGGCTATCATCTAGCGGTTGAAGCAGGTGAGAGAAAAATAAGGGTTGGGAGACAAGACTGGAAAGATGGTTTAGAACAGACCATGATAGATATTCAGCAGTCTGTACTTTATGGTGCAGGCAATGGTGAATCCTTGACAATTTGATGAGTATACATAGGATGCCTACAGAAGTATATTTTTGAAAATAATGTTCACAGATTTGGTGACAGGGTGGGGGAAATATGTGGACTATAAACACAATGAAGACAAGTCCATTTAGTTTCATTCATTTACCAAAGTTGTTTTTTTGTTTGTTTGTTTGGCTAGTGCTGGGGCTTGAACTCAGGGCCTAGGCACTGTCCCTGAGCTTCTTTTGCTCAAGGCTAGCACTCTACCACTTGAGCCACAGTGCCACTTCTGGCTTTTTCTGTTTATGTGGTACTGAGGAATTGAACCCAGGACTTCATACATGCTAGGCAAGCACTCTACCACTAAGCCATCTACCCAGCCTTATTGACTTTTTTTTTTTTGGTGCTGGTACTACAGACTAAACTCAGGACCTGGACACTGTCTCTTAACTTTTTCACTCCAGGATGGCATTCTACCACTTGAGCCACATCTCTGCTTTTGACTTTTATAATGTTGTTTGAAGATAGAGTCTCGTGGACTTTCCTGCCTGGGCTGGCTTCAAATTGGGTTTCTGATCTGTTTCCTGAGCATGAGCCACTAGCACCCAGCTAAAAAAAATCACTGTGTATTCATCATGTGCTAAATATTGGGGATAAAGTAGTAAATCAGTAAAGATCATGCCTTTTTT